AACTTCAAAAGTGTGTCAACATCTAGACACCTACCAATTTATAATAAATCATTAATTTGTCATGGACTTCCATTTGCACTTACAAATAAATAAAATATAAAATAAAAACCAAAGAGAAACTCAGTGATAAAGGGGGAAAAAGAATCATCACTTTCATCTCCTGGAAAGTCTTTTGTCAAACAAGAGTTTGCTGTTGGAAATTTGTTATTGTATGTGCAGAGTTTTCCTGACTGTATTTGGAAGAAAACAACAGGCAAATCAGAAGAATTAGTGAATTTAGGCAAATCAGGAATTAGTGAAAAAAGACAACAGATGAAGAGACAGAATATATGCTTTTTAGTAGCAAGAACTCCTCATGACCTACAAGTTACATGTTAAAGGTAATAAAGGTAGCCCAAGCTCAGCTTCTTCAAGCTATCAATAGCTCTTCAATTTGTATGGGCTTCTTTCTGACTGTGCTATTTTTTCAGCAGCTCTGATACTCAATTCTATAATAATATATAATACATGAAAAATATTTTGTACAAGTTAATAACATAAAAATGAACTTGATTTAGTTAAAATCTGCAAACCTGAACTTTTCTGAACACTCTAAAATTCTCCTGTTCCAGTTCCAAAAGTTCTTACCTTCCATACTGGTTCTCCTGTGCTGTTTTTAACAGGAGGAACATTGAAGTTCAGCATACGTTTCAAAGCCACTGGAAAATAAAGCCAAAGAATACTTTACTCTCTACACTTCAACAACGGGGACTAAAGACTTTAGCAGGATTTTATTATACATTTAATTTGAAAGGAAAACCATCAAAAAATATAAATGCAACAAGTCACATTTTCATTATTTTTATGTAGATTTGATTGACAAGTGGCTCACATCTGCTAGAATTTATGGGTTCCAGAGGACACAGCAAAAGGTAGAGGCAAGTTCTAAAACATTAACTCTCCTTAGCTATACAGGCTATATTCTAATATGGTTTGCCCTAATAATAATTCCAGTATCTTCTTGAAGATGCATTCTGTCCAGTGGGAACTAGTTTGCTTCATTCCTTGGTCTGCTTTTCCTACCCCACAGGGACAACACTATACACACCAAACAAAAAACACCTCTATGCCTGACTAAAATCAATACACAGTTTGAAAGATTTTTGTAGGTGAAGACTGAGGCAAAGGCAGCACTGGTTACCTCAGCCCTATCTGTGTCTATCACCACTAAATAACCAGCTCCATTTAGCAAAGATCCAATGCTTTTTCTTATTTACATTTTTGCTTCTAATCTTGCAGCAGAAGTACTTCGCCTTTCTCGAGATACATGCTGCATAGCTCAACCTCACTAGAACTCTGGCTTTCCCAATATCATCTATCCGTGGCCAGGCAGTATTTCTGATGCCCTGCTTCCTCCTGTGTACAGTCCCTTCAAGTGACATTACTAGCAGTGAAACACAAATGTGGGAAAATCCAAACTGGCACTGACTGCTGGGTCTTGATGGGCTCCAGCCTTGCTCTTGCTTTATACTTTTTTCATTTCTTTTTTAAACACCATGAAGCAGCCCTGAAAGCTGATTACAGGCTGCTCCTGGATTCTTTGGCCCCACACTGCTGTTGACATCTTCAGCCACATAAGCAATTTTATATAAAGCTGTATGGTTATATGCTTTGGTACTACAGGAGCTGAAGCAGCTGCATTGCAGAGTTTATAATCTAAAGTAAAACTTGGCATAAACTCTCTGCTAAGAAAGAGTAATCAGACTGTGATTGAATGTGCTGTGACAATCATGTCAATGTTCAGCAAGTGTCTGAGTTCCTTTTTTATCTTCATACTGACATTTAATTTACATTAATGCTGAATGTTCTCTGGAGTAAGGATCAGGTTTTTACTGTGCTTGCACAATTATATGCTTTTGTTATGAAATAACAATTCTGGTTATGAACCAGGATAAAGGTCACAACAGATGGTGCACATACATGGTAATACTGTAACTAAATGATAAGAAACCTTTTTCCCAGTATACTTTAGTTGGTGAATCTAGCTCCCTGGAAAAGACCTCCTTAACAGAAGACAACACGGATTCAGTTGTAAAAGCTGACCAAAATAATCTAGTAACAATTGTTGGTGACATGGACAGTGGGACTGTGAGTGCACCTGCAGCAAGTTTGCCAATGACATCCAGCTATGTGTGGCCACCAAATCACAGAATCACTCAGGTTGGAAAAGAACTCCGGGATCAGTGAGTCCAACCTTTGACTGACACCACCTTGTCAACCAGACCACAGCACCAAGTGCCATGTCCAGCTGAACAACTGCAGGGATGGTGACTACCATGTCCATAGGCAGTTCACTCTGATGTTTAACCGTTTCTATGAAGAAATTTCTCCTCAATAAATTGGAAAGAAGGGAGCCATCCAGAGGCACCTTGACAGGCTTGAGAGGTCAGCCTGTGTAAATCTCAGGAAGTTCAACAAGGCCAAGTGCAAGTTCCTCCATTAGGTCAGGGCAATCCCAAACACAAATACAGGCTGGGCAGAAAACGGATTTGCAGCAACCTTGAGGAGGACTTGGGGGTGTTGGTGCTTGAGAAGCTTGAAATGACCTGGCAATGTGTACTTGCAGCCCAGAAAGCCAAGTGTACCCTGGGCTGCATCCACAGCAGCATGGCCAGCAGGGTGAGGGAAGGGATTCTGCCCCTCTGTTTTCCTCTGGTGTGATCCCACCTGGAGTACTGTGCCCACACCTGGGCCCAGCATAAGAAGAACTTGAAACTGTTGGATTAAGTCCAGAGGAGGACGACCACGATGATCAGAGGGTTGGAGTAACTCTCCTATAAGGAAAGGCTGAGAGAGTTGGGTTTTTTCAACCTGGAGAAGGTTCCAGGGAGAGCTTATAGTGCCTTCCAGTACCTAAATGGAGTCACAAGAATCCTGGAGAGGGACTTTTCACAAGAGCATGTAGTGACAGGACAAGGGGGAATAGCCTTAAACTATTTTTGAGTAGGTTTAGATAAGGTATAAGGTAAAAATTCTTCCCTATGAGTACCTGAAAGTGTGCAAGGCCAGGCTGGATGGGGCTTTAAGAAACCTGATGTAGTGAAAGGTGTTCCTGCCCATAGCAAGCAGAGAGTTAGAATGAGATCATCTTCAAGGTCCCTTTCAATACAAACCATTCTATGAGCACGGTGAAACAGAATAGAAAAGAATAAAGCTGTACAGAATATGAGCTCAAAGAAAATACACTTTATTAGAAAGATAGCAAAGAGAAGATGGATAAAGGACTTAGAGGAACATCAAATAGCACTATCAACAGTAGATGGCAGAGGAATGAAGTAGACTAGTACCAAAAAATGAAGCAGACTAGCAAAATATTTAAGGTCCATATAGACTGCAACTGAGATTTTTAGGCAGATGATTTGAACTATTTCATGCTAACTAAATACATCCAGAATCCTCTATAACACCAAAGATACTGCAGTTGTCAAGGAGAAAGTGTCATGATTACAACTTAACTACTGACTACAACTTCGACAAGCAAGAGAAGTAGAGGACTACGGAGCTGACATACCCTGTGCTTTTGGAGTATGTTCAAGGCTTTACGAAGCAGCATCAAGGCAGAGAAGAATCCATTAAGGACTCTCAGCAATGTCTACGAAAGGACTGAATAAGAAACCCTTTACTCACAGAAACCTTCATGCACAATTAGTTTAGTTGTTATTATCGTATTGTCAATTTCTTGAGGGTCAGTACACGCTCGGACGCCCCTGTATTGTCTAAACACGAACGTGACAACAGCAGCTTTATTTTTGCAGCATTAAACGCTATTTCCCGTCGATCCTTCCCACGGGAAGAAAGCAACGAAACGGAGGGTGCGCTCCCACGGCCGCGGGGAAGGCACCGCTCACGGCCCGGGCCCGGCCAAGTCCCGCCCCGGGGGCGCCTTCCACACCTCGGCGGCACCTACGGCCACGTCCCCGGGCCTGGGGCCCAAGCGGGGCCGGGGTCCCTGTGCGAGAACTGCG